CGCCAAGGCAGATGGTCTGGCGGTATCTCTGTGTATGTTTCGCCGACCTTAATCGAGAGATCATACCACAGCGAAATTCCTGGGCATTCCATAGCTTAACGTTTATAAGGAACTATATCCATGAGGTTACATTCAGCCAGAAAAAGCAATAAGGCTTTAACCCTCAGGTACTCTTTGTTGCGTTTCAGAATATAACGGTAGTCTTTGTGTGGCCGGAGCAATGACCGGCATTTCGTCTGATACCATTTCGTGGCCCCTCACGTAGAACATCGCATTCTGTGTCATAGCGTAGAGAAGAAAATCTTGGTTCAAGACTTATCTGTTTTCTTCAAGGGATGCAGAGTATATTCAATAAGAGCCCCAGGCCATTGTGAAATCAGCCGAAAGTAACGTTTGGAGGAGGTAGGTTTCAGCCAAATCTTTCTTGCGACCGACCACATGTTTTGATTAGGTATTTATCCCTAAAATATTTCCTTCTTTATGTGGAGTAAAATCCCAAGAATGGCTCTTGCGGTCTCTTAGGTGAGCTGTGCGCTGCGGAACTTCAGAGCGCAACTGGTGTTTTTAAGAACAACACGCCCCGGCAAAACATTATGGTAAACTCTTCTCCGCTTGTTAGTATCTGTATGCCTTGTTTCTAGGAAAAGGTAATGTGGATTGTACTGTATACGTACAATTAAGGTTACTTGACTTTTGAATTAGCTAGCCAGATCATAAGCCGGGCTAACATCTCTAGTTGTGTAATTAGCCATATCTCTCCTTATCTCTCACTCTTCTATCAAGATACACTATGCAGATGCAAATAAACTTCATTTGTCGCTTAACAAGAAAAAAAAAGTGAAGTTTCCGTCTTGTTTTATAGATATGATATCATTCAGGAACGCGCACCCGTTAAATAGTGATTGTCTCCATCAATCTCTCTAGGGGATGGCAATGTTGATTCCTGCAAAGAAGTGCACCAATCAAAGCCCAATGTTTAGATGGCACAAAGTGCTTGGCAGCAAAGAAACAGATGCTGTTTTCGACACTTCGCCTGAATAATGAATAATGAATCTACGACAGCATACACTTGTTTTCGTTAGGGCTCACAGTAGTTACACACTGCACAATCATTTAAATCAATCGCATTGCAAAGAATATTCGAAGTTTTCACTACACCCACCCACTAACGACAGGGCAAAATTTCTACTCCAGGGCTGCTAAAGGTGCTTAGCACCGAGTTGCATTGTGACACCAATTTAGTTGTCACTTCAGTCATCAAGTAGCATGCCTGCGACTGCATGGCATTAGGCCCTGCGAGAAGCAAAATGAATACTTCAAAAATATCAAACACATGAGACACAGAGTGCCAAAAAAATGAAGTGTTTATTTTATCCTGCGCAAGTATTTTTGGTGGACATGCCTCATCGACAATTAGGAGGTGTTACTAACATCAGTCAATCAACATCACATGTACCAACGAAGCTCATTCTGTAGACTTCCTTCACCACTCTCATTTCTGCCAATATACTCCCTATACGCGCACCGTAAAGGCTGTATGCATTTCATGCACTAAATCTTACTGATTCTATCAAACTTAATTTCTGAATTTATGAAATACTCCTAGCGTTATGGCTTCCGCTTTTACTTCAATAAGCTGGTGCAAGTGCTTAGTTAAAGAAAGCACGAAATAAAAACACAGCCCAGAAAAACAAACGAAGGTGAAATGTTATGCTCAGCACGAGCGCATCGTTGTGCACAGGCAAAATGCAGTGTAAGGACTGATACGATCTTTCTCGAGTATGTGAATTTATTCATTCACTGGGTGCACGTAATTGTCATGGAAGCTATGATATCTGTTTAAATAAACATATTAATAATTTGTTTCGGTAGTAATATTTCTTTGGTATGTATAGTATGATTGGGTATGTACTAAAATATGTGAACTGCACAATTATTGATGATTGATATGTGGGGTTTAACGTCCCAAAACCACCATACGATTATGAGAGACGCCGTAGTGGAAGGCACCGGAAATTTTGACCTCCTGGGGTTCTTTAACGTGCGCCCAAATCTGAGCACACGGGCCTACAACATTCCCGCCTCTATCGGAAACGCAGTCGCTGCAGCCGGGATGTGATCCCGCGACCTGCGGGTTCAAGTTATCAACCAATCAAGTCTGTATTTCAGGTACGATTTCAGTTACGAAACAAATCATATTATCTGCAACTTAAAGGGCGCCCCGCCGCGCTGGTCTAGTGGCTAAGGTACTCGGCTGCTGACCCGCAGGTTGCGGCTTCAAATCCCGGCTGCGGCGGCTGCATTTCCGATGGAGGCGGAAACGTCGTAGGCCCGTGTGCTCAGATTTGGGTGCACGTTAAAGAACCCCAGGTGGTCAAAATTTCCGGAGCCCTCCACTACGGCGTCTCTCATAATCATATGGTGGTTTTGGGACGTTAAACCCCACAAATCAATCAAATCAATCAATGTAACTTAAAGGGTGGCCAGAGCGCAGTTAAGAAGCCTGAAATGAGATGTTTTCTCTGGCCTCCTACTTTTTGCATTACCATATTTTACTGTTTATGAAGAAAACGTAAGTATGCATGAATAATTATTTTGTTAATTGATTTGATTGATTGATTAGTGTGTTGTACTGGCTCCTGCATCCTCCTGCCAATGGCCAATTGCCAATGCGTATTCAAAATCGAATAATGTGACGTCATGTAGTGACTGCACGAAGACGTCATAATGGCATTGTGAATTAGGATACGTGACGTCATGGCTAGTGAGGTCACGTATCCAAATGATATCCGTGACGTCATGGTAGTGAGTTAAAAGTGGTGAGAACAGACATTGGTGAGTGAACGCGTTAAGAAATATACCTATGGGCATTGTTGACCCAACGAATGCAAAGAATACGTATAAGGGTCCCACAAAGAACAGAACAGAAACATTCTGCGTGTCAATCAAGTAATATACCACAAAAATATGCCAGATCTCGGAACTGCTTTGGGAAAACGCTCCGTGTAGCGTTGTTCATAATGTTGTTGAAACGTCTATTACGGCTGCAGAGCCGGCTATTAATTTAATACACGTTACATATGTATGATACGGGGGTCATGTCGGTTTAATGTGAATGTTGTACGTAAGCACCATCCTCTGAAGTTCATTTTGGTAGCACTAGCCAGGGTAACCATCCTCTCAAGCACAAGCGCCATACCGATCGGCTTACCACTGTGTTTGCAATGAACATATTGCTGCTGCCATAGTTACGCAACTGTAAACAACTGCATATAGTTATATACAACATACGAGACTGTTCAATTATGTCCATGCGTAGAACATTCGTACAAATCTTTAGCTTGATTGCGCCACAGTAGCTTTCCCTCCGCATACCACGCATAGTATTCATTCCCATGGTACGTGGAATTTTCATGGTTATGGTCCGGTCATTAGGGCTCATGGCCTCTTTGCGAATTAGAAATAAAATTCAGTGCACGTACAGGGCTGTAATATACTGCTTACATCTTCTCAGACACATCGACTACGAACCAGAAGCGCTGTCTGACTATGTTGAAAAGTGTTTTGAGACCCGCACATTGACGAAATGATTATGTGCATCCCTTGAACTTGGATAAACGATACGTGCAGACCAGCGATGTACCACTTTGAACTAGAAATAAATGTTAAATGAAAGCGGTCAGCTTCACGTGTATGAATACAGTGAAACTCAAGTTAGTGTAACAACTGCGTCCTAATTCTCAAAGATATTTTTCTCTGTGCGTTACTTTAATTTGTTTGATGCACTGCCTGGTCAGCGCCTGCTCTTTAAAATTTGACCATTCAAAACCAGGCGGTGGTCTATCGGAGTATATATGGGCTCTCTCAGCTCGGTTGCTTTCGAACACAATACTTCTCGGCTTGCATGTAGTTCCTTTTTACGTATACGTTGACTTGAACAGTTTACGTAGATCTTGTCATTTGAAGGCGCAGCAAACATTCTCGCTGGTCGCTAGCGTTGACGTCCTACAAAGACTTTTCTGTATGCTGCAGAGCTGAAAACCCAAGGCAACAAAATCGATCGTTTCGCCATCTGTTGCACGTTCAACGCACTGGCAGTAGCCCCGCCCGGAAGAGAACCGGGGTGGCGTCAAGAGGCCCATCCATCAGTACCGCTCAGCTGACATTCAATAAGGTTCATCAGATAAACAACAGCAACAAGTGTTGCTATTGCCCTTTTCTCCGTAAAGTTGTATCTTTTTTTAAACAAAACGCTGAAATAGTGAATATGATTGTGAAGCGCAAACGTAATTAATTATCTAGAGAGCATTTTTCAACGTGGCGCTGCCGATGGATGCGCCGGTCGTTGGGCTGCGGAACCCGCGTGGGGTGCCAGTAGCAGGGGCATTCGGGGGTAGTCGGCGTGCTGCGGGATCACTTGCCTATGGCCAACAAGCGAGGGGCCTCTCAGTGGCGCCGGTGGTCTGGCTACCGCAAACCCGTTGCCGGAAGCCATTGTTGCAGGAAGAACGGCGGGAAGCAGTGTCGGACGTGCTGTTGCACCTGCGCGGGGAGAAAAGTTCACGTATAGGGGAGAAATGTCCTTTTGACGGCGCGCGTCCTTGATATTGCGTTCGTCCGCGTAAATAAAATCATGTGATTGCTGAACCAAGCTTCTCGGTAAGCCGAGCTTAATGAGCCCGCTTGTCGAGTGATAGGAGCTACTACAGAGAAAGCGTGCTGCGTGGCAGCGTTGTAGACACCATTCTCTTCGCACTGCCGGCGCAGTAGTCAAGTGACAAAAGTTGGAGTCCAGGTTCGCACGCCCTTCAGCTCACGGCACTCGCCGACCGTCGGAGATAGGTGCGTTGTAGAGAACAACCTGGCATTGCGGCATGTTCGTTACTATGAAACCGTATACGTACAAGGAGGAAATTAAAGTTGGTTGAGCTTCGCGGTCAAACGAGTGCATGAGAGAGGAACTTTTTATTTCAATCTTAGAGACATGTCGGGTGGGGCTCTCAGACCAGAGCACCAATAGCCTCTGCTGCATCCCCGTGCCCACCGAACCATCGCCCGCTTTCATCACGCAGCAGGCTTTCGTCACGCAGCAGGGCCTCTGTTGCAGGGTAGGAATAGGAGAGGAGTTGGCAGAGTGCCTGGCAGGCGGACGCTGACATTCCAGCGTTACGTGAAATAACGTCGGTACCGCTCCACAGCCAGGCCATTTGTCAGGGTAAGAAGAGGGATAGAGGACAAATGCACAAAGACGTTTTGTATTGATGTGCCGGGAGCAATGCGGCTATTGCTCTACAGAGCTCCACACCACTCGATTTTGCGAAGGCAGTTGAGCATAGCAGGTGAACTCAGAGTGTCCTTTTTAAGGCACAGCGCAAATACGCAGAAGACGAAGATAAAGACGAGGCTTGACACACACGAACGCTAACTTAACCACAGTATTTTATTCAGAAACAAACAAACGGATATATGGCTAAGAAACCGTGAAACGCCGCGTATGCGCCGTCGGCGCACAAATCCTATCACGAAATAGAAAACAATGCTCTTTCATATAGAAAAGGCATTGAACGGTTTTGACATACACAGGCGTCACCTAACCTATTCATCGGTATTGTCTCAGCAGGCTAAATGACAATAAATAATTAGGTGATGCTAAGCCATGCTTTTTTCACCGGGTTGGTGGTATGTAGCATCCTGCAGCACTAAACGCCTGTAATGGCGGATGATACTGCATCTGCCAGTACAAGGATTTCAGTAGGTGGAATTTATTGCAAGAAAACTAGAACAAAATAGCAATAACAACAAAAACAAAACCTGACCAGTGAGGTTTTCGCAATTTTAGATCTGTGGTTTTTCGCTTTTACAACAGAAAGGGGAGGGGGGTTACCGGCGTACACAATTCAAACTTACATATCGGTGGGTGTGGGGTTTATGGCGTGGAGCAGCCTTGGAAGGATTAGATTCCGTCGAGGTAGTTAAAAGAGATTTTTTCATCTACAGGTATGAGGCCGTTGAGACCCCGCTAATACTCGGAAGACCCCGTTCTTCTCTCGCGCTCGTCTTGCTTCATGCTCTACCTCTGGTGGTTCGTCAGAGCTCGCAATAGAATTAACAGAGAATATAGGACGAAATAAACATTCAATAGTCACACTCGTACTTGTCAGCAGCTTTATTGTTTCTGTATCAGCGCTAGTTTTTACGAGCAAAATCTATGTCACGATGTTAGACCAACCAGACAAGTAGACTGCTTATAAGATACGCCATGATAATCACCATCATCCGGACCACGTACGCCCACTGAAGGGCAAATGCCTCGTACAGGATTTTCCAAATAACTCAATACAATCTGTGCTTGCTGCCACCATGTTATTCCGCTAAACTTCTCAAGAGAGTACTGACAAGATTTCGCGGCAAGAGCATATTCAGTTTGCATGATATGCGCCATAAACGCTCTGCGCACTTTGGGGACCGACAACACGTATTAGATGCAGCCTAAATCGGGGAATTCCCGGTCGGAGTCGCTGGACGACAATTCACCCACGGTTGTTTACGTGAAGCACGGGAGACTTACATCAAATGCTAAAGCTAGTGCTAGTACTGTTCAAAACGCAGTATTTTCATGACGTCTAACTTGGGCTGACAAGTCACTGTGAAGCCACCCCCGCGATACCTAAACCGAAAGTGATTTTGTTAACGTAGCGGTATTAAAAATAGATTCAATATATTCTCGAGCTGTACGACACAATGTTTAGCATTCCCTACACCTCAATGTTTGTTTAGATGAGTAAGCCGAGAATATTTATATTGTTCCTCAGTAGCCCTTTATTCTCACCTGCCCTCCTGATTTTACGCCTCCCCTTACAATGTTTGTCTTCCGTCATAACAGATTCCCATATTCGTAGTTTAAATCGTGGTGCTGTGGGATTGACGACCGCTTTCTGAAACAATGTCTCTGATCATAGACTTCAAATGGCTTATTAGTAACTGAAATGTACTGCAGCCTATGGGAATGATGCGCCTGGTCATCAACGCAGCTTCACCTGCAGATGATTAGCATGTTTGCTTTCAAGAGCATCCATGCCGTCGTTCTACCCTTGCCTAGTAGTTGTGTCGCTGCGCGCATTCCTATAGTCCTAACTCAAAACAAAAAAAAATGCACATTGAGTGTGACAATTTTCAATAATTGTAGTGGCACGACCCCTGATAGGCACCCCGCAGTGTATCTTTTCAAAGCATTTTTCTAGGTATTTAGGTATTCAGGAAAAACAAACTTTAAAAATGAAAGTACCATATTGATGGTTCGTGCAAAGAGTCATACTGAATAGATATGTTATCAAGGAATAATATTAGTTTTTAACTAATTAACTATCAATTCATTTATTGAAAATTTTAATATTATTTTCAAAAATCAAACGGTTTTCTCGTTGGCACCTTACATCAGTTCAACATCTGGCAGTGCAGATCTCAGCAACGTGCTTTTTGCTATGTGCCCTTTTATATCAATTTCGGAACACGTCGATGCTCAAAAATAAAGCAAGGAAGCTTGACTCGTCTTTATTACGCGGCAGCAAAGGGACGTAAACTCATGAGCGTGCGTTAAATCTGAGCCCTTATTAGTGCAGCGTTCGATAGCCGTATCACATGTATACTGATTTCGGTGAAAGCATCGTTGTGAGCATCAAATTGGCGGAGTTCGTGAGCAAACATTCCGGTAGACACAGATCAATAAAGTATGACAATACTACAGCCCCATAGCTGATTGACGAATGAGGCTGAAACATTCGTCACCTGTATATATGACAGTTCATTATAGCATTTGTTTTCTGAATAAGGGTACACACAAGTTTCGCTTGTAATTATCGCAGTGTTTATTTCATATTCCGCGCACTGTACTTGACATGATCACTATGAAGGAGGCCAATATGCGGTTCGCTGTGCTTACTCATGCACTTATCACAATAATTTTCACTAATTTTCAATGTTTTTTCCTTGAGACAAAACGGAGCCGTACACTGTGTCACAGGTAACTCAAGCGCCACGTACAAATTATTCACTAGCGAATTAGCTTACACGGGGTTTGGATTCGCCTCCATGATTTTGACAACGAGTCTTGAAAATTTGACATCCCCCGATCAATTTGGTTTACGTAGTCGAAAACGTATGTAGCCCACGCGTAATGGCCCACAGTCACCGGAAACGGCGGAGATGAGCTCTCTTACGGAGCGGCTGTCGGCGCTGTTCTTCGCACGCTGCCTGCTGATCGGGAGTTCGCACGATGCGTGGGCTACCCGTGCGGCACGTGCGCTGGGCTGCGACGGAGAGAACGGTGTTGCTGACAGCGCAGTCAAAGGCGCTAATCTTTTACTCTTTATTATTACTTAGGCACTCACTCCGCATTCAAAACGGCTTTTTTGCTAAGTTTGGTGGACCATTGGTTAGAAGTGAAAATCACCCAATTTTGTTTGTAGTATGTGCGCGCTAGAAGTAATGCGTAGACCGGACGGAATAACTTCATGGTTTTGAACACAAATATATGGCGTCGCTCTGAAATCTTTTGTTCAAGTGGGAATCGAACGCAGTTCTTGCGCATGGCAATAAGAGCCTTTACCAAAGAGCCACGCCAGTGCTGGAAACTGCCACGAAAAAACAACCTACACTGGCATGAGGTATGCAGTGCGAGGAATCCAGTGAACATATCTTACGTAGCGTGGCGGAGGTGTATTGAATTAGGTGCTACACCATCCTAATTGTGCAACGGGCAGGTAGCACATTGACTAATAGCACTACATCGCATTGTTAAAAGACGACATACGACACAATCAAAAGTTATTTAAGGAGTTACCCATGACAAAAAAAAAAAACTTTGACTTGGTTACGAATCAGCATCAGAAACAGCATCAACATAGCGAGCTCTGCGTACTGGTTTACTGAGGTGTAGTTATATCATTCGCAGTATAAAAAGATGTGGTGCCGTGGCGATTCCGTAACTCCACTTGCATGCAAGACTTGTAGGACAGTTTCGCGCGGCAAATGTGTGGCGCAGAGATCTTAATTCTCTCACGGCATAGTTTAGACGTCCACTGAGAAGATATGTTTGGCAAATGAATCAGAAAACGATGTGAAAGGGACCCGTTCATGCCGTCTCGTTCAAATTCAGTAGGCGACACTTCGCGTCCTCAAGTTTTCACAAAAGCATCTGTGCTTGCTTATTAAGTTGGCTTCGCTGATGATATGCCTTCTGTCGTGATTGGCTTCGGCATAGTACGAGAATTTTAAGCTTAAGACGCTGTTTCGAATGCGGGAGATGATCACAGGTCGGTGAACTCATTCATGAGTTCACTCTATCAGACTCATTCAGACTTGGATAGAGTGGTGTGTCTGAGTGTGAGTGAGTGTGGGAGATCAATATTTTGGTGAGTTTGACTCCGAGCGATTGCGCTTGAAGAAAGTTTTCGTGAGTGTGAGTTTGAGTAAGTCAAGCTTAGTAAAATTTTGGCGAGTCTGAGGGTTCGTGAGTTCGAAGCGCAGCATTTATTTCATGAGTGAGCGTTAGCGAATTCCTTTTTTCGTTGACCTATAATGTTACTTACTGGTCTTCAGCGTTAATATCAGCCTTATCTGGATTCCCATAATACTCACTTCACGTCGTGTGTATTCGAAATCATCATTCTTCATATGTTTTCAATGTTTATAGATCAGAGGTGTGAATAACGAAGGAGTGCTTTGACATACCCTCACCATGGCTTCCAGGATTGTTCCTAATAATTACATTTCTGTGAGCCATCTCTTTCAATGAATATGTTCTTACTGGATTACAAGCTACTCATTACTTCTATTCGAAAGTATTATACCTGAACGCACCAGGAAGAGGACCGATTACGTGAGCTTTTGGTGTTGATTGATGATTTGTGGGGGGTAACGTCCCAAAAACACCATATTGTTAGTGATTTCGGCAGACTGAAACATGGCATAGTGGGACATACCCAAAAAAGGTGCCTCAGACTGAGAGTAAAGAAGTGGACGTTGTAGGTGAGCTGCGTTGTGGCTGTGGACTGACTACTGTTATTTTCCTCGTAACATTCTGGTGGAGGTGCTGGGTACTCTTTTGACAACGGAGCTACACAGTGGACGCCTCCTTAAGTCTGCTACCATGGCTCCGGGTGAGGATACGACTTCGCCACCTACCTCGGCAACAACAACAACCCGGTACGTCACCCTAACGCTACCTCATGATCCCGGTATCTTTACTGGAGAGGACAACGCGAATGTAGACAAGTGACTTAGTATGTACGAGCGCGTCAGCAAGCGATATGGCTGGGACCCAACCGTTATGCTTGCGAGTGTCATTTTCTATCTTGACAAGACCCCTCGCACCTGATTTGAGACCCACGAGCACGAAATAACAAGCTGGGAAATGTTTAAACAACAGTACCGCGACCTCTTTGGCAATCCGTTTGGTCAACAGCTTGATGCCCGAAAGCAATTGGCCATACGTACACAGACGTCCACTGAGCACTACTTGACTTACATTCAAGACGTCTTAGCGTTGTGTCAAAGGGCCGATCCCAACATGACTGAGGCCGACAAGATATCGCACGTTTAAAAAGGAATCGCCGGCGATGCGGTCAGCCTGCTTTTATTCAGGAACGTAACGACCATCGACGCCGTGATCAAAGAGTGCCGCCGTCTCGAGCAGGTGAAGAGTCGACGCATTTTGCACCAGTTCCAGCGCCTACCCAACACCGCTGCAACGTCGTCTTGCGAAGCCACTCCTTGTCAGCCGTCTACAACCGAAGACGTGACGCGCATCGTCCGACGTGAACTAGAGGCCGCTTACCTGGCTGCCAACATACCGACCTGCCCGACGCCTCAACGCCAGCTGTCTCCTTGATCTAGGCTGTTGTGCGCCAGGAATTCGCTAACCTGGGTATCCTGTTCACTGCACCCACCCTGGATAATACTGATTCCTAAATAGCTTCTGTGGAGACTAGACGTCGCCGTCCATACTCTATTCGAATCAGAAACCCGTCTGAATGGCGAACAGCTGATGATAAGTCAATCTGCTTCCACTCTGGTCGCGCGGGACACATCACACTGCCACAGCCAGAGGCCATCTCTGCCTCCTGGCTCGTACCCCGCTTACAGTAACTCATTCCGTCCCCCAAACCATCGTTATACGACCCGCACTGAGTCTACAGCATTGACTGCCCGTGAGGACTACGGCCATCTTGTCCTGTCGTCGCCGCCGCCTCAAAGCCGCCCTTCTCGTTCAAATACGCGTCGCCGCTCTCCCTCGCCATCGTTTAACAGCCGCATGTCGCCGGAAAACTAGGCTGCGCAGCTTCTGGAGGTGAAGCTGCCCTGTCAACCTTACCCAAAAATCCTCTGTTGCCCTTACGTTTGAACCGGAACACCCTTTAAGTATATGTTGATGGCACACCTGTTGAAGCTTTGATTGATGCGGGTGCTCACGTCTCTATTACGAGTTCGCATTTTCGTCGTCGCATGAAGAAGGTCCTCACGCCCCACTTGACCAGAGTCGTCCAAGTTGCAGATGGCGCAACAGTCCCTCTCGTCGGTATGTGCACAGCTCAACTTACTGTAGCCGGTCACCAAGTGGTCGTGCTTTTTACCGTGTTTGCAACATGCGCCCAGGACCTCATACTATAGGCCTTGATTTTCTTGCCGCCAATTCTGCTCTGATTGATTGCTCCGCTGGTGTGCTCCGCCTTGAACTGCCACAAATCAGTGACGCCCCGTACCAACCTACATGCCGATTACAATGCAGCTACTTCGTTCACCTGCCCTCCAAAACTGACGTACATTGATTGTATGTGCTCACCAGCTGTGCCCGACGGTGACTATTACGCTACGCCTCTCACCGACGTACTCCTTGCACACAATGTTGCAGTGCCCTACACCGTGCTCAGCATCACAGATAACCGAACTTGTCTACCACTTTTAAATTTCGGCTGCATGAATCATGTGCTTCCACAAGGCTTTTCTGTGGCCCACCTGTGTCCGTTGCTCAAGTCACAAACTGAATTGCTTGCCTTAGACCCTTGTTTCAACGCAGCGCACACCCCTAGCAACACATTCGGGCAGCCGTCAAATTGTAAACATGATCGCCATTGATCTTCCGCCTCCGTAAGTTGAAGCCCTACAGCGTCTTCTCGAGGCCTACCAGGATATTTTCAATTTTGGCGACAGACCTCTAGGGCAGACGTCCTTTGTCCAGCATCGCATACACACAGGTGATGCCAACTCTGTTCACCGCCGTCCCTACAGAGTGTCTGCTTTTGAGCGGAGCATCATTCAGAAGGAGGTGAACAAGATACTAGAGAAGGACATTATCGAACCATCCTCCAGTGTCTGGGCATCACCGGTGGTATTAGTTAAAAAGAAGGACGAATCGTGGTGATTTTGTGTGTACTATCACCACCCTAATAACACCACCAAGAAAGACGCATACCCTCTGCTACGAATTGACGACGCCCATGATTGCCTTCATGGTGCCGCCTACTTTTCTTCCATCGATCTTCGTTCTGGTTATTGGCAGATTGTCGTGGACTCCATGGACCGAGAGAACCCGGCTTTTGTAACACCTGATGGCCTCTACAATTCAATGTCATGCCTTTCGGCTTATGTAATGCCCCCGCCATCTTTTAACGAATGATGGACTCCCTGCTCCATGGATTGAAGTGGTCTACGTGTCTTTGTTATCTGTATGACGTGATTGTGTTTGCTCCCACTTTTGAAGTCCGCCTTGAGAGACTGTCCAAAATTCTTGATGTATTCAGTCTCGCCGGCCTTCAGCTGAATTCATCCAAGTGCCGGTTTGGTCGCCGCCGCATTACAATACTTGGACATATTGTTGACGCTTACGGCGTACAGCCTGACCCAGAAAAAGTTCGAGCTGTGAAGGACTTTCCTGTGCCAAAAACCGCCAAAGATGTCCGCAGATTTGTGGAGCTCTGCTCCTACTTTCGGCGGTTCATCAAGAACTTCGCGTAAATTGCTCGGCCCCTAACAGATTTACTCAAACCAGATGAGACGTTTACCCGGGGTCCCTCGCAAGCAGCAGCATTCTCCGACCTGACCACTTTGCTCACTTCCTCTTCTGTTTTGGCTCACTTCGACGCTACGGCACCGACCGAAGTCCGCACCGATCCCAGTGGTTACGTAATAGGCTCAGCGGGTTGGCTCAGCGACGACGTGGGCAGCATCACGTGATAGCTTATGCCAGCAGGCTGCTGTCCCCCTCGGAGCGTAATTTCTCCATCGCAGAGCGCGAATGCCTAGCGCTGGTGTGGACAGTCGCGAAATTTCGCCCTTACTTATACGGCCGACCATTTATAGTTCTCACCGACCACCACGCCCTTTGCTGGCTCGCCTCCTTCAAAGTTCCCACAGGTCGTCTCGCCCGCTGGGCACTCCGCCTCCAAAAGTATTCTTACACCGTAGTGTAAAAACAGGAAAACTGCACAAAGATGTGTATTGTCTGTCACGCTACCCTGTGGCCGACTGCGCTCCTACGAGCACTGATTCTGTGGGTTGCGTCCTTTCCATCTCTCAGCTGCTTCATCTCGGGGACGAGCAGCGTCGCGATCCAGATATCAGCCGCCTAATACAACAGCTCGAATTTTCACCGCAAGACGCTCTGTTCGCATGTTTACCTTAAAGGACCACACCTCATATCAGCGTAATTTATCGCCCAATGGTCACGACATACTTCTGGTCATACCAAAGCATCTGCGCTCCACAGTCCTACGCGAGCTGTGTGCGCCGTGTGCAGACATGACCGTGTGCGCCGCCGCTTCTACTGGCCTGGCCTTTCACGCTCTGTACGTCGTTAGTCAACGCTTACGCAATTCGCTAGCACCGCAAAAAGCCGTCGGGACTCCCTTCCGGGTATCTTCAGCCCATCGACATCCCATCGGAGCCGTTCTTCCGTGTTGGTTTGGACCTTCTCGGTCCCTTCCCAACATCCGCCTCCGGAAACAAGTGGGTCGCGGTTGCTACATATTACGCGACCCACTATGCAGTTACGCGAGCCATGCCAGCAAGCTGCGTTACAGACGTCACTGATTTTCAACTACGCGATCTCATTTTAGTGCATGGAGCCCCTCGTCAACTGCTGACAGACCGAGGCCGTACGTTCCTTTTGAAAGTGGTTGATGATATCCTGCGTTCCTGCTCTACCCAACATAAGCTCACGACATCGTACCATCCCCAAACAAACAGGCTTACAGAACGTTTAAACCGCACCCTGACAGACATGCTATCGAAATACGTCTCGGCTGACCATCGTGATTGGGACCATGCACTACCCTACGTGACATTCGCATACAATTCCTCCCGGTATGACACTGCTGGGTACTCGCCATTTTACCTTCTGTTTGGACGTGAACCAACATTGCCGTTGGATACCTTCCTGCCAGCCGCTGCGCAGTCTACTTCTGAATATGCACGCAACGCTATTACCCGAGCTGACCATGCTCGTCAGCTTGCCCGCAGCAGAATAATGGCGTCTCAAGACTCGCGGAAATATTGTTACGACGAGTGGCATTGCGACGAACACTTTCCGACAGGCTCCCTCGTTCTTCTTTGGTCCCCTACGCGACATGTAGGCCTTTCAGAGATGCTTCTCTCTCGTTTCACGGGCCCATACCGCGTGCTTAGACGAGTGACCGGCACTACATATGAAATTGTCCCTGATAATACATCAACCTCTTCTGCTCTGCTGTCCCGGGACATCGTCCACGTATCAAGGCTCAAGCGTTACCACACTGCTCCTGCTGCGGCCCCGTAAGCTCGCCGGGTCGGTGTGTTTGCCGCCGGAGGTCGTGTTAAGTGTTTTCGGCTGACTGAAACAGGGCATAGTAGGACATACGCAAAAAAGGTGCCTCGGACTGAGAGTGAAGGAGTGGACGTTGACGGTGAGCTGCGTTGTGGCTGCGGACTGACTATACTGTTATTTTCCACGTAACAATATGATTATGAGAGACGCCGTAGTGGAGGGCTCCGGAAATCTCTACCACCTGGGGTTCTTTGACATGCACCCGAATCTGAGCACACGGGCCTACAACATTTCCACTTTCATCGGAAATGCAGCTGCGACAGCCGGGATTTGATTCCGCGACCTGCGGGTCAGCAGGCGAGTGCCTTAGCCACTAGACCACCGTGGTGGGGTGAGCTTTTGGTGTTGACCATGGACGTCATGTTCGAAAAAGCTAATTCTAAGCTAATAGAGTCACGAGTAGACTGACGCGGACACACTCAGATTGAAACGCGAGTGATTCCGAGTGAGTCGAAGGGAGCAGTAATTCACCGACCTGAAGTATAGTGAGTCCAGTTCACGGGTGTTTAGGTGGATCCAAGTCCGAGTGAGACCTAAGTGCAAAATATACTTCATGGGTGGGTGTCAGCGAGCTTTACACTTTTTGCCGACCCTGATGTGCATAAAATGTTAAGATGATAATGCAATCAGCCGCAATACCCGGCCCGACAAAGGTGCCAACCAGCCAAATGCGAAATGCACTAACGAAAGTTCCCTTAATTCAGCTCGGGAAAAACTACCCACAATAGGGCTCCGAAACCCACGACTAGCCGCCCTCTCATTAACTGCTCGGCGCGAACACTACTGTGCTTCGTTTATTTCTTTTTTTCTTTAGTACATTCATAACCTGCAGAGACGTGGCTAGCTTGAAGGACTTTTTTTTCGTAAACACCTCATGCAGTCGCAGTGTGTTGAAAGATAACTATTTCGAAATCACAGCCCACAATTCAGTCATTCTGGATATGTGTGTCGATGTATTTCTCGAAAGGTTACGTCAAACCCCATAAAAAGAAGATCAATATATGCGCTAGGTGAAAGGCCTGTTTTCGAACGGCAACGTCACTCTACATTTCCTCCCCCTCCCACCCCCTTTAACCTCCTTACTCCCGGCTCTTGAAAAAGACAATATCATGACTACGGCCCGCCAGCCGATGTGATTCCGAAGGCTGTTACCTACATTAAACAAAGAATAAGACTGCAATTCGTTTTATGTATTGTAAGAACAGTGCAGCGTTTGCCTATAGTAGTACCGCGCAGCCCTCATGAGAGTCAGTTTTTGCGAATGCATTCAAACTATAGCAGTAAGACGGGAAGTTTGGCGAGTTGGTTGGGATTCATCGTGAACTTGTTAACAGCGCAACAGTTGAAACAGAGGACAGTATTTGAAACTCTGTCCTGTGTTTGACGCGTTGCGCTGTTAACAAGTTCACGGTGGATTCAAACTATAGCACACGTACCGCCTGGAGTTCCTGCGAGCCCGTCCTTCGTTGCGAGAGCCAATGGTAGCTGAAGGCGGTCGGGGTCCGGGTGCAACTTCGTGGGGAAGCGAGTGCCATCCCCGAGGCTAGTGAACAACGGCAGCAGCCACAGGGGCTTCGACTGCCCGAATACCTGTTGCAAGGATACGCGTAACACGCTCCATTAGGTCGTGCGATACTAGCTCTACAACAGACATGGAGAAGAGATCATAGGGATGTGTTACGTCACCTTTGTTGTGTGCCCAGAGAAGCGTTGCCCACCAAACGCAAAGAATAAGTGGTCCATTTGACCACCTAAGACTACTCAACATTTTTTCTGAAAATTTTTTCCTGTGAAGCACTGCTGTATAGTTAAAATGCATCTGTTTTTATCCATTTTCCGAGTTTCTACTGACTGTACTGTCATACGCTTGTACTGATTATGCATTTCTTCAGCCCTGAAACAAGTGAATAGGCTCGAAGCGAATCAGCTGCATCGTCAGTGGGCTAAAAAAAGAAGGATCGCTCATCCTTGACCTTGATTTAGCGTTCAGAAAAACGAGGGTGCTGCTCATTTCTCGGTTCCCAACCTTGCATGCTGATGTTCCAGTTGTTTGGCGCGGGCGAATATAGGCGAACTTGCTACCGAGACAATTTATTTGTGCAAAGGTCTACCCGTGATCGTACTAGAATAACAAAATAACCGGTGTAGTATACTAGCGTGAATTCAGGTATCCCAAAGAAATCTGCTCCACTTCTCTTAAAATATCGCACGTAAGAGAACACTCGCTACTTCCTTTTTTGTTTAGTGTGTGCTCGAAAATCCGGTTGTGAACTTTGAAGGAAAAACATATTGCTTTAAATATATAATGAGATCGTGTTCCCTGTGTTTTTGCGCTACATTTCCGTGATTTGCTCAATCTACTACCTTAGTACTTACAACAAAAAGTGATACAAAGTGTTTTTATATGTAAGACAATTAAAAATTGGTAGGTCCAACACATCTTAGGAATCGACGTTATGAATAGCCAGCACAGCAACCATATTAGACGTTTCACGAACAGGGTCTATTTGAAAAGTAGATCAAGGACTGCGCATGGCTCTGAGGTACAATGCTTGATATGTGAACTGCCCATATATGTTTTCGTCGTTTCTAAGTTTCAGTCACCTGTGGCACATACATGCATACCAGTGGCACATATACCCGACCACGGATATGTGCTATTGACTGGCGGGAAGTGTCCGACGACGTACAAGACGGGATTGCGACATTATTCATGTCTTGACCAGCACTTTATATTCGTAAAACCATCTTACACTCCCATATTAATATTGGTTCACGCCAAGTAAATGGGGGGATGACAACAGCACCCATACGTAAGAGGTTATAGATAGATATGCAGGTACACGTCAAAAGTGCTTGCAGTGCGCAAAGAAACGCTTCGCATTTATAACAAAATTACGGCTTATCCACGAAGGGAGGGATGATGAGTGGGTTGCTGACCCGCAGATCGCGGAATCGAGTCCCGGCTGCAGCAGCTGCATTTTCAATGGAGGCGAAAATGCTGTAGGCCTGTGTGCTCAGATTTGGTTGCACGTTAAAGAACCCCCTGGGGTTGAAATTTCTGGAACCCTTCACTACGATGTATATTCATATAAGGGTTTTGGGACATTAAAGCACACATATCAATCATGATGATGAGTGGGCCAAGCTGTAGGATTGTTCGGTGTTACCATAAATCACCCGTGCCAATGATTCCTCAGGATTGTAAATGACCGAAAAATCAGTGTACAGTTATACGCAATGTTTCTTGGAATTGAATGATATATTGTGTATAGCTGTGAGACATTTTGCCTTCATTACTTCTGCTTTGTGGCATCGGATATAGCCTGAGATTAGCTAAGACGATGCACGTACACACTCCCCTGGTGGTTGTTGGTTGTTTGCAGTCATACCAAATGCATAGGAGAGCATATCGAGACGTCCTTTGCTGCACAAGTCAGTCATTGTTTGTGACCATTGTCGTAATCATTTTCGTCGTCATCGGCGCCGATGTATCTACGTCATGATGACGTAGAGCGGGTGCCTTGCATGTGCTGTGCCGTGATGACAGAAAGAGAATGTGTTGTCAGGAACGCACTTGTTCTTCGCCAAGAGCATCATCGCCATCGTAATGGTGAAACGGCGCACATATGGCTCAACGCTGAGAACCTTCGCCTCTGAAATGTTCGTAAGATTGCGATATTACTATATTGGCGATTTTTGAAAAATGCAGTGACTGTATTAGCGTGCTATGGTGTCTCTGCCTTGAGTGATTCTTCCTCGTTATATTTTGACACTAAAGTCTTAAAAGACCTTTAAAAGCCTCCCACGATCATTAGTAATTAGTGCATGCAAATTGTAAACTTGTCATAATTATAACTGTTATACTGCCACCCAGCACGACCTCGCAAGAATCGCCCTTCTCTACGTAGCACTGAAGATTATTTCAAATATAAAACATTTCAAATCGGCCTTAGTGCAACGTAGATAGAAATCAGATAGATAGATAGATAGAGAGATAGATAGATAGATAGATAGATAGATAGATAGATAGATAGATAGATAGATAGATAGATAGATAGATAGATAGATAGATAGATAGATAGATAGATAGATGCCAAAGTGCTTACAGCACACTAAGAAAGAAATGCTTCGAATTCAAAATCATATCAATGACCAAGCACTCTGTATACAGATGGTTGACCAGCGAATTTAAAATGTCCGGCCTGAGTGCTAATCACTAGGCCAGTCGGAAAAGTTGGTGAAGGTAATGTCCTTCGTAATACTTGATTGATTGATATGTAGGGTTTAAGGTCCCGAAACCACCATATGATTACGAGAGATGCCGTAGTGGAGGGCTCCAGAAATTTTGACAACCTGGGGTTCTTCAACATGCCCCCAACTCTGAGTACACAGGCCTAAAACATTTCCGCCTCCATCGAAAATGCAGCCGCCGCAGCCGGGATTTGATCCCGCGACCCGCGGGTCAGCAGCCGAGTACCTTAGCCACTAGACTACCGCGGCGGGGCCCTTCGTAATAATTGGTTACGTCTATAGAAAACTTTAACTCTCTGTATCTACTGTGCGATATTTTTTCTAGTTGATTGCATCGCCCCAGGCAAGAAAATACTAAGGTTTCACAGAATTACACCGCTGGTTAGTTCCATGTTATGACTGTTGAGAGCACCACTTTAATGCATTCCTTTAATGCATTTTTACCTGCAAACCAATGAATATATATTTTTCGCTCTAAATGCCTGCGTAAGTTCAATAAGAGACACTTGATGTTAACCGATTGTTATTTTGATCATCGCTCCTACTTTAAACATTTAGTGGCCGACCAGCATTATTTGTGTTTGCCACCCGAACGATCACTTATAAAACACATTGTGTCAGTTGCGAATCGCAGAATTTGTCCGATTTCTATAGCGTATATAGGTAAGACTAACCGCATACGCAGGGCAGACAAATTTATCATAATTACACCTGGACAGAATATTGTTAATATTGTTGTTAATATTGTTGTTGTTGTTGTTGTTGCACCTCATCCCATCTTAACTCATTCATTACAAGGTAAAAATTAGTATTTTTCATATGTCTTGGGAAGAACATTTTTGTCAGTTCGTAAAGTGCTCCAGCACGCATTGCACCATACCAAATTTTGTGGAATAAACTTCTACTTCTAAAAATGTATGTTCTAGAGCAAAAACTACTTTGATTTGAATAAAAATGCGATAATATGTAATTTATGGTTGCCGGCCAGTAAACACTGCAATAAAAGAAACTGTGCAAAAATATTCAAAAGAAAAAATTCCGAATACACACGTTGAAGAAAAAATGATCCAGGAACAGTGGAAAAATAATGAAAGTTATACAAAAAGTTTCTGTTCACATAGACAAAGAAAATCAGAACCGAAGCGCTACTTCGTTGCCTGAGCCATGCGGTGAAGCATTGCCTGGTTTTTCGTACGACACCAGTGAACACGTAAACATTTCTTAGTAAATTTATGTTCTCTTGGTATTAGAGCCTCCATTTGTTACAATATAGATGAATGCCAGTGGTGCGAAAAATTTCTTTGTAAATCAGATGCCTAATGAACTTCGCTATTTCGTCTATTGTCACCTCTTTCCATGAGCCACCTCACTTCACTGAGGTTCGCATTAGATATATGCGCCCAAGCATATTTTTTTGCATTTTGCACACCATATTACAAAACCAACAATGTCGCACGTAGCTCTAAAACGTATCGCGTTGTTTCGTAGTCCGGGCCAGGATGTGCTCCGGTGGCCTTTTTATTGTGAGGAGAAGCTCTGCAACTGCGCCAGCACACCACGCTCCAGCGCTGTGTGGACCTCGCAAGTAAGCAGAGTAGCTATAATATTTTGCGCAAAAGTCAGCAGCGAGCTACGCACTTGCGGCGGAGGAGACAACTTGAGCTCGTAAACAAAACGAACCCACAAACTGCTGTGGACGCCTCAGGCTGACGCAAAACATCGTCTCCTTAAAATCTGAAGCTGAGGGGCTGTTATCCTTGAAATTTAAGCTTGTCCTCATTCGACTCATGTGGGGTTGCCAGACAGTTTTGAGCGGCGCATGAGTTTTGCAGCGCTAGCGTGCACCCATGCGCGCACAACGATTACGCCATAGGAGTGACTAGTGACGCTATATGCCGCCCTGTGTCTCATAGAACAATACAAGCAAAACGAAAGCTGCTGGAAACTGGCTGAGAAGGCCATCTCGACAATTAAACATGCGGCGGACCCTGAAAAATACTTTTTGTAGAATAAACGTTCTCTGAATCCTAGCGACAGGTAATTGTATATCGAATAGCTGGCATAAATTTCTGGCAAATGTTACTGCTGAACACTATCAAATTGCGAAGCTGAAACTTCAATTCGATATTTGGCTTGCAAAGCTTTTTTTTCGTTACAGAGTTTCAATGTTACTGCGGTATAACTACGAGGGACACGCACGTTTGTCAAGTTTGCCAGCCTAGTGCAGTTTTCCAACAATACACGAACACTGGCTCGCCCAAATGTCTGTCAAAAATCACTACGGTGCCCAAACGAGCAAATTCAAATCGATTCTGAAAGTTGAGTGGCTGGACTGATTAATAAAAAGTTCTGGGTGCACAAGAAACAAATTTAACACACTAAAATCAACGAACTAAAGCGTCAATCACCGATGATCGTTTGAATAGGCGGGGTAACGAAAGAGGCCAGTCACGCTTGCCTGCTGCAGGTTCTTCTGGCGGCCCAAGTCGAACGAATCGCCAGCCTCCCTGAACACCGTCGCGCGCATCTTTTCGAGCGTGGTGACGTTGCGGAACGTGTTGTCAAGGTGAAGGTAGAAGAAGCTGCCGATGCCGAGCGACAAGTAAATACCGCCAACGACGAGAGCGCTGACGTTGATTGTGGCAAAGGAGAAGCCCGGGTTGAACCACGAGTAGACGGCGTGTACAACGGAGGTGATCGCCGAGAAAGCGGCCAGCAGGCACGCGTACGCCGTGGTCAACAGGAACGACTTCTGGCTCGTGAAGGAGACGCAGTTGTTCAACCACGGGCAGTGGTGGTCCATCTTTGGGACGCACCTGAAACCAGGAAGTACATCGAGTTTCAAATTCTAACCGACCACGGCACTTCTCCTTAAATGTAGATACACACAAGTCAGTATCAATGAACGCCTCCAGTGACTATCGGCACGTCAGGACGACGTGTCGATAGTCGCTTACAACATAAGAGTAAGTACAAGCTTCGCCTCCACAAGTGCAACACGCCTGTCATTATGTGAGCAAGAGCTCGTTCTAGATGGTTTACACTGGAAGCTTTACAGCTTTACTACTGTTTCACTGTTAATGTACACACAGGTATACGCGTTCGTCGTTCGTACTACGTGAAATGTCTCGTTACGCTTAGACAGTATGGTTAACCACTATATAAATATTACCCTAAACCAAGGCCAAAATTCCTCTATTTTACTGTATAAAACTTTTTTCATAACCCCATGTTTTACCCTACACCAAAAGTGGTACCGTGCAACAAGGATAACATGCACTCTACGACGTTCAGACGTATGCAGTGCCTCCGGGATCACCGCACTTATTACCGTGCAAGAGTGACACCGGGTTACGCCATCATTTGACGCCACATGGTGATATCACATTGATGCCGCACTGACTTCGTGAGGACACCAGAAATTCTCGCGATATGTCATGCCACAACGACCTTATGAGGCTGCGTCATATCACAATTTTTTCGAAATAGTGGCGTAAACACCGAGAATCACTTTTCGTATAATATGGGGCACGTAAGGTTTTCGTCCTAATAATTGAACCCGACCGCCATCGCGAAATTTAAAAGACTTTTAAATGACCGAGAGAAGAAGAATAAAAAAACATCCCAGGAGAAGAAAAACAATGAAATTACCAACAAGATGCTAGACGTGTTATTTTTTGTCTGTGGTTCTGGTGACATTGAATAAGACAGTTCCAATTCAGATCTCTCCAGAAATATAACCTTCGTATTTGTAACGCGGATCTTCAACACTTTGAACTCATCAGTAAGGAGTCAAATATCGAAATTACCCCGCATCAACACCTCACTAGTCTACGCTGACCAAAAGATTGTCAAAATAGTGTACAAGTTGCGCTATTCTCCACGATTGAAAACCCTCTCTTATAGAATCTTATATTTTTCGCTGGATTTTACAAAAAGTTTCAGGCTCCCACCGAAGCTTAGCTATATGATATGTCTAAGGAAAAATTGCCTGCCTGCAGAAATACCTTAAAGATTTTATATGTCACGAAAGCGAGCGCATGCGATCGGATGGGTCATCTAGACCAATTTTAGATTGATGGGGCCGTAATGGTTGGAAGCGAAGCCTGAGTCTATTTTTAGGTTTTAACCGACAACTATTACTTCTTGTCCAGTGCCTATGGATCGAAACATGACATCGTAACGTTTAGTGTAACCACTGGTGGGTCAAACTCCTCGAAATGACCCCATCACGTCACTGCAAAATTGACCGCTGATCATAAGGTAGGCTCTGATGTTATCTTTCGAGTCAAAACTGCAAAGTTCACACATACTGCAGATGCTGTCAAGGAAAGTACTCGGAATACTAAGTCCAAAATTGTCATGTTTCAGACCGTGAGCAGTGAGCGTTTCGCGTGTATCCACACGACGGATGGCTCCGCGGAAATCACTTCCATATCCACCGTCTGGCTGTGAAGCGCATCCAAATGGTATACGAAATAAACAGATGCGCTGAAGAGAGTGAGATAGAGTGAAAAAAGAATTCGGCAGATCCGACGTACCTGGCAATTGACGTTATACGAAGCATGTGGAAGTAGGGTGACCGTGTTGTATTTTTTTGACCGAGAGACACGTCATGAAATGACGCTAAATACATGTACAAATGTTGCACGCAAAGAAATATGTTGAAGGGTTGCATATGTTTATATAACTTGTTTTTTGCACTTGCGCAACGATGCTAACTCGAACATGCGTGTTAGCAACATCAGAAGCTGATATGAAGCGCTGATGCTCGCGAGGATACTGAACCTGGGCACTGCTACATAAATCAACCTAAGTGTATGACAATTAACCACAATTCACGTTAGCCCGACGTGACGGCTCTATCAAAGAAGTACGTATGTATTGTTTATAAAATTTGGTAGGCAGCACTGCCACCACTATTGACGTTCCAAAAAGATTAGCATCTATTTGAAAAGTATAGTTTGGAGAGCGCGCGTAGCTCTGCGGTAAAATGCTTCATTGCCACGCGTAATGATTCGGTTCCATTCCAGCTGGGACCCTGACATTTATTCTTTGCATTCGTCGGGTCGACCCAAGCGCACGTTAGAACTGCCCATGTGTGTTCTCGTCGTTCCTGGGTAGATACTAAATGTGAATCACCTGTGGAACATACCCGCATACCAGCGGCACATACCCGCATGGTGGTATGTGCCACTATGCCACTATCTGGCGGGAAGTGGTTGACGACGTACGCGACCAAATTGTGACATTATTCATGTCTTGACCAGTGCGTTATATTCGTGAAACCATATGACCCTCCCAAGCATGCTAATTTTGGTTCACGCTAAGTTAAGGGGGTGACCACGAGACCACCCAAACGTAATCGGCTAGATAGATAGATAGATAGATAGATAGATAGATAGATAGATAGATAGATAGATAGATAGATAGATAGATAGATAGATAGACAGATAGATAGATAGATAGATAGATAGATAGATAGATAGATAGATAGATAGATAGATAGATAGATAGATAGATAGATAGATAGATACGCTCATAGTCGCCGAAGTTCGCTAAAAATGCTTCGCATTAAAAAAAAACAAATGAGAAAAAATGTGTGCTCATTGCCGAACCTATTATGGCACTCTAGTCTAAACCTGCTGGGTTAGTCCACACGTATCTGCATGCGAAAAAGAGCTTGCCAGTTTTTTTCCGTCTGCGTGGTCCGCTGACCCGGCATGGATGGCACAAATCTCTGAGGTTTGGCGACGTATTGCACCGTCCGCAGCGGAAAAAATAGATTTAGTTGGTCATGTGAATACACGTTTACGCCATGTACGAATCTAAAGACATTCCTCTGCGTTGGCGAGAGCCCTAACATCCCGAAGAAAAAAAGAAAACGAGCTACTGACCAACCAACGCGTCGACAGACTACGTCAAGCATTTATCCTACTGCGTTGCAGTATCCATCAATGGTAAATCATTACGAAAAAAATATGGAGGAATAGCTCGCAAGTGCTTTACCTAAAACACTGTAACCCACTGTGTTTAGAATACTGTTGTATTGGAGGCTGGACAGTTTTTTTTTCTTTTGAAGTCCATGATCTTTTTTTTTGTATGTGAGCGTTGTTGAGCCCCCCGCTTCGCTCTCGCCATTTTGATTACCGCAAGCTTTTTAAAAGGGTAGAAAGACAAATTGGTGACGAATTGACGGAATGCTCTCTTTCTTGTGATGACTGCTCGCTCTTGGCTGACATGACCTGACGCTATACGTCTAATACCCCGACCAGCAGCAATGCCACCTTTGGTGGAGACTGGATTAAGTCCGGTAATCGCCCGGTCTTCGCTTGGTGCTTGATTTGCCGAGGCAATGCTTTCGACAACGGCCGCGTATTGTAGGCCAACTCATAAGCCAATGAAGGTTCGAAAACCGTTTCAAAACTACCGCTACACTGACGAGAAGTCATGACGCAGATATCTTTGGTGTTTACGGGCCCCCGTCATTTCCCAATATACTCCTCCGCGCGGTTTTTTTTTCCCCCAAAAACAACGCTGCATGCGGCTTGTTGGTGCTTGCAGTAAACGGAGGCCTTTAGTTTCAAGTGCTCGCAAAGCGCTTGTTTTGGCTAGTTGCTGTACTCCATTGAACTGCTATATAGCGCCAACTTTAGGGACGACAGACAACATAATATGACACACACAGAAGTGCTTGTGTGTCACATTGTCTTGTCTGATGTCCCTAAAGTTAGCTCAAATAGCAGTTCAACAATTCAAAGCATCGCTTCATTTCGTTAGATGACTATGCTGTGTTAATCAGGAACGTATGGTATGATGTCCTTAACGAGACACTTTTAAGAGGAAAGCTAGTTTCTCCTGTATTTAAATTTCTTTTTACGCAGTATCACTCCTACAGCATAAAGACGCTAGGAAAGCAAGAAACCACGCAAACAAAATGGAGGTGGAGACACCACCGGCATAGCCGCATTACCTTGTCGTAACATAATGAAAGATCTGACCCCTCGCTAAGGCCTATATACACCGTTAACAATTATTAATAGATTAAGTCCACTGTCCTCCATTGGGGACCATGACTTAGGCTACCAAGTGTCCGAATATCCAGGAAATATTGGCCAATATGCCCGAAATGCGGATTAAAGAGGGCTGACATCCACGACATCAAGCGGGCGCTCATTCGCCAAGATTTCTGCGCAGAATTTAGAAACCCGTTCACATATGGTGGTGCAGATAATGGTAGTTGTCTTCTCAAAGAATAAGTTATCCGTTGAAATTCATCCATTTCTTCATTTCAAGGTTTCAACACTCGACTGTGGCTATATTCTTGAGCGATTACTTTAACGCGCGCACCTCCTGCACCAAGAGCAATGGTGGCATCGGTCGGGTTTGATGCGCTGGCATATGGCGCAGTATCGGACGCAGCCGTCTATGCCCAGCGTCAGCACTCCCCGCCTGTTGCCCAGCCCTTCCAGGTACTGCCGACGCTCGTCGAAACCCTTGGTCGCGTCGAGCCGTTCTCTTTCGTTATCGCTGAGGCTGAAGTAGACGGGAATCTGCAGTGGGCCTGCGTGAAACGAGTTAGCGACAGGCTCTCGTTGTTATCAGGCGTTCGTTCTATGGGGATGGAAAGAAATGTCAGCAGCGCGGCATCTACAAAATGTGATGCCGCTATAGTTTTCATAGTAATGAAAAGACGCTAAGTCATACATCATACAATTCAGAACTATTCTAGCCTCTTCTTATTGCCGTCAAGCTTAGTGGATAGTTGAAAAATACAACAGCGCGGCGCGCCGTTTACGTTTCTATATTCCTCTACCCCCCCGCACATTATATAGAAGCTGCTTAAAACGATCTGCACCACATGTTCTTGGGCTTGGAATGGATTGTCAGTAAGCAGTGGTGTCAACCTCGTATCCTCGCTCTCATCTTGATTGTTTTTACCCCATTTTTATTTATTTAGATATGTTCATGAGCTACACAGATGTGTTAGGTCTCAACCGTTACACTTGTTTAGATGCGAAGCATCTTCTGAGCGAGCTTTATTCGGTGGCGTCCGCACTCCATTGCTCGAGTACGTCTCCCCCCCTCCCTCCTCTCTCCTCTCCTACGCTTCCCCCACGAGTAAAATGTGCTCTTACAGAAGTAGTTTATTGCTCACTGTACAATGATTTCACAAGAAAACTTGCGCAATGTGTGCCGGTGTTTGACATCTATAACACTGCGTAACATCGATGTATCCTTGTTTAAGTTAGTCATATACATCTAGATCTGAACGACTAACGTCCATCATTAATTATCAAACAAATCCTTGTAGTCGTAGCTACTTGTGCTAGCAGTAAACGGTGAGAGAAGGAACAGAGAAAGCGATGTGACAGTCAGAAGGCCACAAGAGCGTGACTGATCGGACTCTGAACTTGAGCTAAGTTCGCCTACAGACGACATATAGGAGGTATTGAACAAAACTGCGCGATCAGAGAGAAGGCAACGCGCGTCGCGTATTCCCTTTGACCGGCTGCAATTATTCTCGGGGTGAGCTCAAGTGGGGAACGTGCAGTTAAAAACAGGCGAAACCGTCGGGCACCACATGACTCGGTATAAATGAATAATATGAGTGACCTTACGACACTTGAGGTAAGGTCGCCACCTGGTTGTGTATTAAGGCGTTGACGAAAATGCAATTCTCCAATTGTGAACGCGCCGAATGGAACGGATGCTTAAAAACGACGCGTTGAAGAAACTAATCGCGAATGCCGCGGTCGCCATGCATTACTGCACTTTAGAAGAACCCTTTGAGAGCTCGGTGATGGATATAAAGCGTATTTTTTAAAGCGCACAAAGTATAAGACCGTGGCGCAGTGGATACAGTGAAATCCCGCCATTCGAGAGGAGTGGCATATACTGTACAAACCAGTCATCATGATTAAATCAATTGCTAATCCGTCGTCATTCTCTATTGCAGAATACCTGATTCCATGTGAGTAGCAAGACAGTACTTTAAAATATATCAAGGTTTCTACACGCAGTAAAAACAAATGATTGTGTTCCTTCAAGGTTTGAAAGGGTAGAAGCCCTGCTTACTATGATGGAATTTTAAGGCGTGATGTCATTTAACAGTGCTTGACAGCTGTAGTAAAGTGGCGGTTGTTCTGTGAGCTCTGTTGTGTATTATAATATTGTAAGCACATTTCAAGTACTTCATCGTTCTCACTTATACATTGCCATCAACATCGTTCTTTCTCGTTGGTGTTCAGAGCGGAGAGAGACACCGCGGATTAAACGGATCGGCTGGGTTAGCCTGGGGAAATCTCCCTGCTTCTTTCAAAGTTGCGAAGTAGGGCCAAGATTCCGACGTTCTCCTACGCTCGTGTCCAACCTGGAGCTACGATCTGGTCACCACTTGCACCAGGCCACCTTCTTAGCTATGCATACACTGAACCCAACACCTAATTTTAATGCTACAACACCAATGCCCATTTATCTTCTCCCATTGTGTGTGACGTCCAACCAGAAACAAAGAAAAGAAAGAAAAGTGGCGCAGTGGACGGCGTGCCCGGCATGTGTTCACTTGGACCCAAAAGTCTTGGGTTCGACTGCCGTTCATAAAATGTTTTTTTTCTTCTCATTGTGCTTATTTAGGATGTCATTCCGTGAGGGAAAGGCGTCAATGAAATTTGCTAGACCGCAGCATAACACATTCGTGTTAAAAAAATAAAATGCACTGCACATTATGAACTCATTTCCACTTACCAATTGCGTTCAGTCTCTGTGACCGTTAAATCAGAATTTTATTGCTCAATCGGATATTGTTCACGACGTAAAGAGTACGTAAATAAATACTATATGCGCGCATGCCAACGGCACCAGTGCACCTCTTGCAATCGTAAAACAATTAATGAAGCCTCTTCCGTTCGCACGACTTCTGAGCCTGCACGTGTGTTACACGTTCAGGTAGTCGTGAAACAGTCATAATACAGTCAGTTCTGTGATATGTACAGAGCCTGCGTCACCAAGACACCACAGACTAATGATGCTGTAGAAGCTAGTGAGAGACCTTACCGGCCAGAATGGTGTAGATGAAGGACCAGAGGCAAAGCAAGAACAACACGTGAAAGACGACCGCCAGTTGAGCACGCCAAGCGAGGTCCTCGATCATACTGCCGCAGAGGACGCTCATGTAGACGTAGTACGTCCAGCTCAACAGCATAACGACGCCTACGACGGGCAGCCACTCGAAGAACGGGTCGACCCAACGCGTTGGACCTCGGGGCATCCTGAGCGTCTTCTTCTTATCGCGTGGCGCTATTCCACGCGCTTGCGCTTGCTTCTCATTCGGTGACACTTGATGACGATGATGAATACGTATGAATTGCTGTCACCTACAAAGGGGAATCGGGAAAAAACCGCCTGGCAGGACAACTAAAGTAACGGACTGTTAAACTACAAACAAGCTATAAAATTGCTTTAAAAATGAAACTTTGTATAAGCAAAAATTCTTACTGAGCGAACGGTGAGACCATCTCAGTTTTCTCGTAGAAATAACGACGAATTACAAACCAGTAATATGAATAGACAGACTAATATGGTAATCTTTTTATTGCTTTCATGCATTCGGGCATTATAAAGCAGAAATCACTGCCGCAGTAACCTCTTGAAGTGCTGCGAACTGAGGAATTGAATGAAACATTTACTGGCAATCCTAATCTATGAAATGGGGCTTTATCTGCTACCGGCGATGGTCCAGAAAGCTGGCGCGCGTCCGTCAGAGCGCTAGCAAACTGCCCAAAACATCAACAGACCAGACAGTAACGCGACAGCAATAAACAGCCCGTGCCACTGAGGGTGAGAAAACAATATAGTGATCCAAATTAGCAAATATTAAAATAATCCGTTTGAGTGGGAATCAAACACAGCGCTTCCTCGGAGTGCTCCGGTGTTTTATTACGGAGGCACATCACTTTTTTTTTCGTATACTTTCCTGTCGGACTCTTCTTTCTTTTTATCCCTTAAAGTTTTTGTCCGGAAAACGATGAAAAATACCGATTTTTCATTTGCCTGTTCAATTCTGCGTGTCTTCAGAAACTTCGGAAATTACGAAATTACTAAAAGGCGTGTTATTTGCATGATACAACGATTTTTCTTCAATACAGAAGTGTTTTAGCCCAGGTTACATCGAGACTCCACCGACGTACTTCCATCACTGTTGTGACCACCACACGACACCATATGACATAGAAAAAAGAGTATACATCGCAAAGAGTTCTGTAACCGTTCTATTGAAAAAAACGGCCGCCATAGGAATGGTGGATACCAACATCCACTATTTTGGTAGATTATGGTGCTAGAAATATTGGTGACACATGGTGTATGATGGCGTATGGTAGATGCTGGAGTGCCGGCAATGTTGGAGCGTGAAACGGCGTCAGAACCACCGTGACGAGCTGCCACTAAAAAAAAAAAAATAGGTGTATAGAAAGTAATGTAGAAATCACTCGTTAAAAAAAAAGACAAGCGACTACGAGAATTTGAACGTGCAACATTCTCACTTCTAACTGAATATACTAATCACTGCATCATGCCGACACTTTTTACATGGTATTTATTAAAGTATTTGCGCAATAATGACAAATCTAGTGAACAAAAGTACAAACAAATCGCGAAAATACGCACTCAAGTGCTACCCAAAAACACTCAATGGCTAACCTAGCGTGAGTTCCTCAAATGGAGAGTTTTTCACATCGTGTTATGCAAACAAAAAAGGGGTGAGCTCAAACAGCTGCTCTCTAAGATGGAGTACCAGTTCAGTCTAAAGTTTAGCTCGTCGTAAATGTTTTGGAGGTGGATAGCCATTTGAATGAAGTGTGTGCTTGAAGAGGTGGTGGGCTCTGCATTGCGGTCTTGCATTCATGTCTTCCACAAGTTGTGCATACCCATGAGGAAAAACATGTCATATAGTACATCATCCAGCCCTGTTGGTAGAAGATAACGTATCGTGTGAGAATTAATGAGGAATCGTTTTTTTAGTGCTAGCTGAAGGACACCCCAAAACAGTATGGCATCTTTGCAGCTAACAAAGCAATGTTCAATCGTTTCTGGCACATCACATAGACGGAAGTTAACAGACGGAATGAAAATGCCCTTTTTTTTAACCATGTGTTTACCGCCAATGTTTCAGAGAGGAATTTATAGAAGAATGTTTTTGAATTCGGTGGAATGTACATTTTGCGCACTCGCTTCAACACATCGTGGCCTGGAAGATTGGAGTACAGTGAGCGGTACAACCGAGGCAGGAAAAGTGTACTCACTACATCCTTATACAGCACCTTATGCGATACTGTGTACAGGTATTCTACAGAAAAGCGAGCTTTAAGGAACTGAACTGCGAGGTGAACTTCTTGCATGAATCCCAACAAGCATGGGCGTTCTGAGAAGTTTGATGAAACAATTAAATCTGGTAAGCAATTAACTGTAACCTGCAAGAAGGGACGAATTACAGGATGGGAATTGTCTCGAAAAAAAAAAGAAGAATCGTGACACTACTTGCCATAGATAAAGGTGTTTTAATCCTAACCCACCCTCACTAACTGGCTTGAATAGATTGCTACGGTAGGAGCTGGGTTGTATATGTGCCGGGGAGGAAGAATAGAAGAATAACGTTGTTTGGTGCGGCCGAAGGACTCCATCTTTACCGCGACTGCCGAACTTCATTTTCACCCTGTAAATAAATCCACCCATACTTTAATTCTACCGTAACAGTTTTGTTTTGGAGGTGCTGGATCCCAATACCTCTCGCCACAAAACCAGACAACGTCGTCCTTCTCTTCTACCTCCCCGGCACATATATACTACAGCCCGGCTCATATATATACTTGTCTTGTCTTGTCGCCTAGGATATCTTGGCTCATACCCACATGGGGGATTGGCCACACTGTACCTTATAATGGATTTTTTTTATAACGCTTGCTAAAAAAAGAGAAATTAGATAAGAACAATAATATTGTTCATTTGAAAAAACGTGAAAACGTGCAGAAGAATTTGATAAACCAGAATATAGAAAACAAATTAACAAGAATGAGGAAGGGGGACAAAGAAATGGATATATCTGGCAGTACCAATAGCAGCGTATCCTTCCAGTTGCCGAATGAATTTATGTAGCACTGACAGAATAGCACTGCGGCCCAAACGCAACTGACTGGCTCCAAACGATAATAAGGTGGATGTATTGACATGCAATCCGAGCATACCAATCGGTCTTTCAAGAATTATTCGGCGCAGTGAGGCCAAGCGGCGGCATGTGAGAAGAAAGTGATCTATTGTTTCCGGTTCATTACAAACTGCACATAGGTTAGTTAATGAAAATCCAGATTTGTTGAGATAAAAATTTAACCGAGGAACTCTATAGCGAAAGCTTGTGAGGGTCACCTCACATTGACGGGAAAGGCATTTTGTGATGTTCCACATAAATTGCAAGTGCCGAAATTCTTCAGATTGTAGGAGCGACGTTTTGTTGATTTTTAAGATTAACAAGCGTTTGAATAGTTCGGCAGTAATAAAAGGAAACTGTGGAGCTACTATACCACCACCGGGAAATTTATAGATGCTGAAGCGATCGAATAAGCAATTTTATTTAGCACAATTCCAGCATGCCCGGGGACCCGAATAAACCGAACTTCTATAGGCTATGCGGTACGAGAGACCAAAATATCCTGAGAAAAGGAGACTGCTTTGCGGACGTTAGATGTGTACATACAGACAAAGCATCCGAAATAATAATAGCTTTTGATTGCTGATAATTTAGTTTTCGAAGAGCCAATGTATTAGCCAGGAATTCTGCGAGATAAATTGGTGTGAAGTCAGGCAATCGGAGCACAAAAGACCAATTAAGCTGATGAGAAAAAATACCTACTCCAGCCTTCTGAAGATTTTGCATTGCATCCATCAAAATTACTGGAAAATGACTGAGATGGTCTTGAAGGAGGCCCTCCAGAACATACTTTGGAAGTAACTTGGCATTTTTCGGAGAAATATTATCGAAAATTAAGTCAACTGGCACCGAGCATTGGGATTGGGGAGTTAAATGCTGGAGGGAAACGTGAAGATTTGATAACAGACTCGACGGAAACAACTTGGGGTCTTTGATAACGAAACCACGGGCGCTGAAAGAAAGAAACTGGATGTTTGATGAAAACTGTCTGTGAACAGAAGAGGGGCGCTTCGTAAAGTTTTAAAAATGTTTGCGCAGTAAGCTGTCAAAATCTAGCATCAAGTGGAATGATTCAAGCTTCCAAATAAAGCACGCTATTCGCGACACACCTAGGTAGCCCGAGACACAGCCGCAGAGCTTGTCTTTTTTCACTATAAGAGGTCTTAATTTGTACTCAGCACTTCCGGAAAACAGAACGCAACCAAACTCCAAAAGTGGGCGTACGTAAAGTTTGTATATCATAAGTAACGTATCCCTGCGCATCCCTGAATTCTTATTGCAAAACTGGCGTAGCAATCCTAGGGCGCTTTCTGCTTTACGGGTGTTTGATTCTATTTGTTGCTGCCAATTTAAATTGACCACGTAAACAACGCCACGATATTTTAGCGCTTTTACTTGTGGAATCAGATCATTTCGATAATGCAGTGAAAGAAATACGGGAACGGATAGAGGGAATACAAGCAGAGCACATTTGCTAACATTAAGTGAAAAAGACAGCCCGCCAAGCCATACCTCTAGCTCACTCAATATTGACTGTAAGATTTGATACAAACTATTGATATCTTGGGATGACGAGAAAAAAGCAATATCATCGGCGTAGACGTAAAGTGGAATATTTTTATGAACGGGAATGGATGATAATGATATATTAAATAAAAGAGGTGACAGGACTGATCCTTGCGGAACACCTCTTGTTTGCTTATATGAGGCAGAAGCAATTCCCTCGTGGCAACAAAAGAACTGTCTCTCAAAGAGAAACTCCTGAACCTAAGACATAATGTACTTGGGCTCCTCACAGTCCACTAATCTTGAAATTAATGTAATGTGTTCCACACTATCGTAGGCTTTTGCAATATCTAATGTGACTAATGCAGGAAGCTCACCAGATACTTTTGCGGCTTTCTAAATCAACATGAGCCGACCATATAGAGCACCCCTGTCTAAATCCTACTTGCCTTGGTGAAAGGATGTCCTGACGAGTGATGAATTCACTGAGCCTTCTATCGAGAATATTTAAATTATTTTAACTAAGTTTGAAGTAAACGAAATTGGCCGAATGTTATCCAGGA